AGAGATGATTTTGATTGGTTTTAGCACTGGAAATGGCTTGAAACTGAGCTCAACGCAGCAGAAATGTTAAATTTTTGTCTATGTTCAAGAGTAAACAAACGACTTCACACGTCTAATACACGCCAGCTGTTGGGTCTAATATACATTCACAAATGTGGGGATGATATGTATACAATTATTACAATATTGCATAACAGTAAATCTTCTATTTTTTGGCTTGAATAAAAATTCATTATGTGAATAAAAAATAAAAATGGAATTCATTTGTAAAGCCTCAAAATGTAACTAATGAACAGAGGAAATGTTAGTTTAGTGCCAGGAATACCTACATTATTTATTCTGGACCCTATTTTGAAATTGGAATATTTTGAACTTTGTGTTAAATTGGCCAAATTACCAATTTCCAATCACTTTATTTTGTAGTTGAAACAATTGACTTGGCAATTTCTTGTGCTCAGTCGATAGAAGAGAAGTAATACTAGTGAAATAGCTAAGAATTTGGTCGACTGGAATAATGTAATTGGCCTAAAATGGGAGTCAGAGTCGGCAAAATCTCCAATTCGTAAATATCGCCGACACATCAAAATTCGCAAGAGCATAATTTCGTCAATTTTCCATCAAATTTCGTACTTTTTGTTTTATTACCTTCAGGAAAAGATTCTCTACCATTTCATAAGAAAAAATAACAAAATTTTTTTGGGAAAATTCTTGGACCCTGGTGCGCACTTGGAAATTTGGCCTCTGGACCCTGAAAGGGTTAAAAAAAACAGTCCTGTACCATATCAAGAAAGTCACTAGACTCAAGATTTCCTGTCACATCGTTCCAATCAATTTGTCTAAAGATAAAACCTCCCATTAACACAACATTTTCGTATCTAGACACCTTTTGAATTTTGTCCCATATCAGCTTACTGCACTCCCTATGAAGGTTTGGGGGCCTATAAATCACACCAAAATTAATTTTTCACGACCCTTGAGAAACTGTAGCCAAACAGATTCTGTGCCCGATGTTTTAAATCTTGTATCTTGTCTAACACAACAATTTAAATTATCTCTGACATACATCACCACTCCACTACCCTTCCTGTTGACCCTGTCAGTGTGGAATAATTTATAACCCTTTATGTTGCATTCAGAAGGCATTTCTCTATCTTTCAAGTTGAACCAGGTCTCCATTATAGCAATAATATCTATATTACCTGCACTTGCAAGTAATCTTAGCTCGTCTGTCTTATTTCTTAGACTCCTACTACACCTACAACCTGACCACTATGACCACTCGACTTACGACCATATTTTTTATGCCAAATTTCTGGGAAATAAACAACTATTTGTGTTGTACACAGTGTTGATCCTAAACCTTACAGTATAAAATACAGTACTAACAACATAAAAAGTAAAGTAAAACATGAAATACCAAAATAAAACAATAAAATAAAGTCATTACAAAAATGTTTTGTTGATATTCAGTAGTAAAGTTCGACTTACGACCATTTCGACTTACGACCATTGTAAATCAGATGGTAGGTGTATTTGTATAATAAACCTTAAGGGAGCTAGTCACTCATTGCCCTCTATTATCTCTTTGTTGAACATTTGCTTTGCCTTTACTAGCAAATTTATTTTGAATATTGTCTTTTAAACATATCCCTGGGGTATCCTGGTAATACGTATCTGCTGTTTTCAACCCTTGTACCGCAGCATGATTGTTCCCACAGCCATACCTCTATAATCTATCAGTTTAATGTCCTAAACAAGTCATCAATGGCCCCCCTCAATTGAAATGGCTAATGCAACCACTCCAGCCCCAGCATACATATCACATTTGCCATAAAATTTGTCCCAGTTATCAGTGAATGGGATTGCATGTTTCTTGCAGTACCAGGAATTTATACCAATTGCCCTAGACACCCAATCATTGCCCACTCCCCTTCTAGGCAAGATGCTACGTATATTTGGGATCCCTCCCTTAGACATGAGTACATCTATGGCTGACATGTATTTATTCAGCAGCTCCTGTCTCCTACCTTTACCAGTGTCATTTCCATCAGCACTAAGACATAATGAGCTTGTTCCCATTACCTGACATAATATCCAACCTGCTGACTGTCACCAACACCAGCTCCTGGGAGGCACACCCTCTGTCTGACCTTCCTATCTGTTACAAAAAGCATAGTCCATATATCTTACCTGTGTCTCCCACAATCAGAATATTCTTACCTTGATTAGCAGGGGAATCAATGTTGCCTTTAACCTCACTAACCACTGAAGTACACTCGTCTTGGAGAACAGAGAATCGATTTCCTACCTTCACATATTCTCAATTAACCTTCCTTATCTTCCTTCTTCCTGAATTGTGAACCACTTGCCTCTTAAAGTGGCTGCCCCTCTCCAATTCACTGCTGGTAACCTTTTCCTCCTTACCAGCTCCAACCATCTCGCACTTGCTTGCAAACCCATCTAGGTGAAGCTTCAGCCTCCTATTTTCCTCCTGAAGAAGTGGAACCTCCTTCAGCACTTTAACCTGAGATTCTAAAGCACTATAGGAAGCCATGGTGCTCGGTAACACCCTACGCTAATTCCCAGACAGCTTAGAACTGGATGACCTCACATGATGTGATGACCACTGACCATACATTTTAAGAAAAACAGGAACTAACATTTACAGTGTAAGATATCAAATGCCATTATTTTTAAATAAATACCTAAAAATATTTGTTTGACATTTTTGGAGGTGTCAAAGACCTAACCAGAGTTTCCAGTATGTTATTTAGAGTTCATATTATGGAGCTTCCAGAACTTAGTGTCGATTTAAAAAAAAAAAATGCAATATGAGGGAATTCACATAGCTTGTTATAACACTGTTTTGGTACTACTTTTCCTAGTGTACAATTGAGCTCTTTTCTCCCACCTTCAGGTGCTAGTAAATGTTCGTTCTATTTTCGTATTTTGACCCATATTTGGTTAACCCTTTCAGGGTCCGTCCCGTAGATCTATGGCTTTACGGTGAGTGTCCAAACCGTAGATCTACGCCATGAGCTCAGCTCACTCTGATAAACTGTGAGTGGTACATTTGGGCCTAGATATGAGAGAATACATCTATGTGGTATGTGTGCACCACATAAAACAGATCCTGCAGCACACTGTGTACAATGAGAGAAAAAAACTGAAATCATGATTTTTCGATTAAAACAGCAACTTTGCAGTGTTTTTTCGTATGTTTTTTATAGTTGTATTTGCGATTTCTTGGTCTCATTTGATAGAATGGAAGACATATTACAGAAATAGAGATGATTTTGATTGGTTTTAGCACTGGAAATGGCTTGAAACTGAGCTCAAAGTAGCGGAAATGTTAAATTTTTGCCGATATTCAAGAGTAAACAAACGACCTCACACATCTAATACACGTCAGCTGGTGGGTCTAATATACATTCACAAATATGGTGATGATATTTATACAATTATTACAGTATTGCATAACAGTAAATCTTCTATTTTTTGGTGTGAATAAAAATTCATTATGTGAATAAAAAATCAAAATGGAATTTATTTGTAAAGCCTCAAAACATAACTAACGAACAGAGGAAATGTTAGTTTAGTGCCAGGAATGCCTACATTGTTTATTCTTGACCCTATTTTGAAATTGAAATATTTTGAACTTTGTGTTAAATTGGCCAAATTGACAATTTCCGATCACTTTATTTTGTAGTTGAAACAGTTGACTTGGCGATTTCTTGTGCTCAATCGATAGAATAGAAGTAATACTAGTGAAATAGCTAAGAATTTGGTTGATTGGAATAATGTAATTGGCCTAAAATGGGAGTCAAAGTCGGCAAAATCGCCGATTCGTAAATATCGCTGACACATCAAAATTCGCGAGAGCATAATTTCGTCAATTTTCCACCAAATTTCGTACTTTTTGTTTTATTACCTTCACAAAAAGATTCTCTACGATTTCATAAGAAAAAATAACAAATTTTTTTTTTGAAAATTCTTGGACACTGGTGCGTGACTCCAGATTTGGGCCTTGGACCCTGAAAGGGTTAATATTCTTTTCTGGTTTCTATCTACAAAGGAGGACAATATTCAGACTTAATTCAGTTTAACACTGGTAGTTATTTTGTGGCATATATTTAACCTTTTCTAGTCTATCTACATAGTTTTTTAGTGCAATCACCATGTTGCCCATGCATATTCCTGTTTTGGTTAAGCGTACATGATATGAACAATAAGCATTTCTCTGTGCATATATTTGAAGGCTGTATTGAAGTTTGCCAGTGCAAATAGCATAAAAATTTGTCAGCACTGCAGGTGGTGGTCTTCCAGTGACAATTTGCTCTTCAAGACTGGTTTCCTTATGTATCCTTCACAATATTTTATCATTCTATAATCTTCGAGCATCCTGTTTGCACACTTTACATTTCAGATGCATTATACTGTACCTAATTACATTAAAATTCAATCAAACTATATTTGTCAGTCAAGTTTCTGTAGGGATCGCAGTCATTTTTATTGTTTAATTTTGCATCGGAATAAATGCGAGTCCATACATTGATACTTTGATAAGTCGATCAAGTTAGTTGGTTAAGGAATGATGAAAACTTCATGTAATGAAGTGCAGGGCCTCATAATGAAAATTAAGGAAAATTCAAACATGCCTCAAAATACAGGGCAGAGAATGAAAATTGGGTGTAATTTTACAGGGATTATCTCCAAATGGCCTTTGAATTGTTATTCACATTTATGAATTGGGCTATTTTTTTGAAAATATTCAGCAGTATGTACTGTACTGTACTGTGAAAATATATGGTTACTCATAGATAATTTAGCTTGTTTTTGTTTAATTATATATACATGTAGTCTTGTTCTAAGATTGGGCCAGTAAAAAAAAAAACTTTTTTTTTCATAATTTCATGAAAATTATCGTTATGGTATGTGTAATTATTACAGTTGCATAGTTAATATATTTAGTATTACAAATAAAAAAAATTTCTTGTTAGGTCCAACAGCAGTTATTCCTCAGTACTATGGGGTGCACTGGGGTGTGTATCCAGCCAACATTATCCAACAACAAGGGCCTGGTGGTCAACCACGACGGCCAATCTCCCCTTCTCAAACTAGTGAAGTTACCAGTCAAAGTAATGGTAACCTGGCAGCATCTGCTGCAGCAGCAGGCAATATGCAAGGTCCCCTTTCACAGTACCAGGTGTGTATCTTACCATGAGTGGCTTAAATACATAATTTTAATAAAGTATATACAGTAATTAATATGTACTTCAGATAATAAATACAGTATATGAAAGGAGTATACTAATTATCATGGTAATATTTCATTTCTGAAGCAGGTAATCCCAGCCTACTATGACCAAAATGGAACAGTATTGATGGGTAACCTCAGAGGAGTTGGTAATGGAGCCCCAGTTCGGTTGGTTTCTCCTGCACCAGTCCTTATCAATGGTGCCAATGGTGCCCAGGCTGCTGCTGCCAATAATATGCGACTTTTAAGCAACCAGGTATAGAATATTTCAGTTGAGTATTAAGTGCTATGTAGATTTGTCCATTTTTATATTGATTATAATGCATATTTCTCGGACATTGATGAATTGTAAAAAAAAAAAAAAATTACTACACATAAGTGTGAGGTTTTGCTGTCACTAATGTTTACCTGTTCCCCAGGCTCCTCAAATTGGAACGCCTCCAGCATCTCTGTACAATAGTAGTCAGACTCCGAGCCTCAACAACAGTCAAACCTTCACTGGGAGCACACTCGCTGGTATGCATACCAAGTGTAGCTTGTATGAATAGTGTTTTGTGAAGCTAACACTGCAGAGGTCTGAATTATAACTAGGTTACTGGCCAGCTACTACTGGATTTATATTTAAAGACAGTTTGCTGTCTATTTAGGAAGTGTTCATGCTGTATGATCCATATGGATTTGGTTCATTTTTGCAAACATAAAAATAATAAGTTGTTCTTTCCACTTTTAAGTAATGATCCAAAAGAACTGGCTGGTCTTAGTTTGCATGTATCTAAAAAAAAAAAAAATTACATGTTTGATACTAATACAGTAACACTACCACAGTTCCCTTTTCAAGGGAGGAAAAATGACCATACACAGACTTACAACTAGCATCAAGGATATACTGTAATGCACCACTAAACAGTATGAAGCAATTTTATTTAATCTTCAACTGATTAAATTAATAAATGCACATTACATTAAACATGGTATAACCTTGATCTAGTTTAATATAGTGCATCCCCTTGTGCAACAGTACGTCATAGATGATTATAGCGTGTGGTTCGTTTCTCATTGTTGCAGATTCCCTATCGCAAGGCCTGCAGACTTCAAATGCATTAACAGGCAACAACTACTCGTTGGGTCTGCAAACTAGTAGTCTAGGTTTTGGCAATAGCACCCTGGGCACCATTGGATCCCCTGCTATTGGTAATTTAGGTGGTGGTAAGTCCAGTCTATTAACCAAATTATAACAATGAATTATATAACATTTGGAATATAGTGTAATCAACCTTAGCTTCTTTAGTGGCATATCCATGCATTTTAGGTAATGACTGTTCATTTAAATTTTATGTCATTATTGTATCAAACTGGCACTTCCTAGCTAAATAATGCTATATTTCCTCTGTTTTTGTCATTGCAGGTTTGGGGGGTAGCAGTATGGGTCGTCGTGATTCTCTTGATCGCACTACATCTGTTTTATCCCCACTTTCTCAAGACTTTCGAAGTGCTAAATGGACTAGTAATTATGGAGCTTTAGGAACTGTAACTGCATCCCCTGGACCCATTGGTCTTACCTCAGGTAGTCTAACACCTCCACCAAGCCTGAGTAGTACTTCTTCAGCACTTCCCCTTGGGGCTCTCATGTCAGGTAATCGTGTCATTTCTGCTGCACCAGGAGCAGAGGCCAAGTTTCGCAATGGCTCTACCAATGGGATGTTCAACTCAGGTGGACCCTCATCATTATTTCCACCATTAAAACGAAATTTGAGTTTGGATAAATGCACTGGTCGTTCACGCCTTCTCGAAGACTTCCGCAATAATCGATTCCCAAATCTCCAACTAAGAGACTTGGCTAACCATATTGTGGAATTCAGCCAAGACCAACATGGCTCAAGGTATGTTAGCTAGCACCTAAAAATGTTAGTGCATAAATAAAAAAATATAAAATTGTAATAAAAATAAGTAAAATGATAAACTATTTGGTGATAAAAGTTAGATGCATGACAAAGAACAAAGTTATTGTAATCATCACAGGATTCTTCACACAAAGTAGATTGCATAGTCAATTCTATGGAGATTTGTGCTGAAGCTTTTTTCAGGGGTGTGTTTTTTCCTTCAGTATCTTGATATTTTCTGAAGATCTCTTTATTTAATTACCATCACAGTTTTTATTAAAAAAAATATTAAATTGTGCAGTGAACTATAAAATTTTATCCTTGGGTTAAAATTAATGCTTAACCCTACCTCTTGTCTACTTGTTGAGAGGCCTAGCAATTATTTTCCCCATGATCATCCCAGACCGAGTCTGGTTTATTGCCTGGGCAGTCGACGCTTGCAATACATGCCATGACTTAGGCATCACAGCTTGGTTGATAATCAATGGTTTACAGCACATTTTCTTAAAAGAAAGTGTATTAGCAATTTATTTTATATTTGAAAGGAGACTTTATGCCTGTTGAGTCATTTTTGTGTACTTTTTGCTCCTTATTTTAGTTAAAGATTTGAAACCTGCCCTGGAGATACGGAGTTGTTAGCATACAGAAATTTTCCGGTTTAGAGAGTACAAATGCCATAGTCGTATGTGCATTGGCACATTTTGTTTTGGAGGTACATCTTTTCTAGTTTCTTATTTTCGTTGCAGTTGTGATAGTATAACTGTTTTCTTTAAAAAATATAACTTTTGACATTCACTAATTATCATTAAGTCCCACATTCTTCTGGTCCGTGTAGTAGTTGGCTTACTTTTTTTATTATATTCCCATTTTTATTTTTCACATTTTACTTTTTGGGGACAATAGTTGAAATTTTTATTTAAACACTTTTTATGTAGTCCAGAGAAAGACTTGGTTTGTTAGCTTTGTTCTCAGTGGATGCCACTTTTAACCCTTTCACTGTCCAGATCCTCAAAATGAAATTTGCTCTCAATGTCCAAAAAAAAAAAAAAAAACTCTTCCCATCTTTCATTCTGAAAATGCAGAGTATCATTTTCCGAAGGTATTGACCCCAAAAGTGCGGAATTACAATAGTGGAAAGTTAGCAGTCTGGGTGCAGTTTACACACTGGAGCTTTCTCCCACTTTGGGTCATATTTTAGACCAATTCCATAGTTTCAGTCAACCAAATTCTCGGCTATTTTGCTAGTATGTCTTCCATTCTCTCAATTGAGCACATGCAACTGCCCATTCAGTTATTTCATTTACCCTATAAAGTGATTAGAATTTGGTAATTTGGCCAATTTCACACAGAATTACAAAATGCCAGTCTATAAATAGTTCATAATAAACAATGTGGACATTTTTGAGACTAAAACATTTCTTATGTTTATTGGTCATGTCCCCCGTCCTCTCCTATATTACACTTGCTCCTCTATAAATTACTGAATGTAAAAAGAAAACCTTTTCTTTCTTCTTTTTCAGATCACTCTGCCTCAGAGGGTATTGTTTTCAGAATATAATCACTGCAGTCATTAAAGTGAGCTCATCTATTGTTTCTGGATATTGCAGGTTCATACAGCAGAAACTAGAGCGAGCAACACCGGCTGAGAAACAAATGGTATTCAATGAAATTTTGACAGCAGCCTATTCTCTCATGACGGATGTATTTGGTGAGTTTGAGACATTTATTAAAACATTGAGCATGAATTTTGGCACTTCATTTGCTCTATTTTAACTTTGGTTTATTAAAAACTAGATAATTTATAGACTTACGATTAATACATTATTATTATTTTCAGGTAATTATGTAATTCAGAAATTCTTTGAATTTGGGACACCAGATCAAAAAACTGTGTTGGCAAATAAGATTCGGGGTCATGTCTTACCACTAGCATTGCAAATGTATGGATGTCGGGTAATTCAGAAGGCCTTGGAATGCATTACTCAAGACCAGCAGAAGGATATTGTTCGTGAGCTTGATGGTCATGTACTCAAGTGTGTTAAGGATCAAAATGGTAAGTTTAATTACATTGTAAGTCTACTTTCTATATCTTTTTCTTTACAGTACTGTATATCAGACTATTTGATGCTACTATATATATATTCTTTCCTTTAGAATCTAAAGCCTGTTGTCCTCTCTTTTTTTTTTTTTTTCTCCCTTCTCCAAATAGTTTTTATGGTTCCTTAACCATATTTAGTTTTCTCTTCATCTATGGTACATACTCTTAAAAAGGATAAAATAATCATAATTGTGTAGATAGTTTTTTTGAAATGTAGGCAAGCTGATAGTCGCTGGAGCTACCCTGGCATGAAACACCAGTCTTTTAACTAGGCTTTGCTAATTTAGACCTCGGAACAGTTCAGGTGTTTGCTTAAACTTGTTCTATTTCTTGATTTGCTTACCTTCATAGGTAGCATACAACATCACAATAGACTAAATCTAATAGCAGAAAACTAAATTGACAAATTCTCTGTATTCTTTAAATATTGCTTCATATTACAGTACTTTAGAATATCAGGCAACTTAATTCAAAATTTTGAATGTGTAGGACATTGTAGTCATTGAAATGAGTGCCTTTTAACTCCTTGACTATGGCATACCCAAAAATTAAAGTGCCTGTTTATGGCAAGATTGTGAAAAATAAGCATATTTCTTTGCTCAAACATATTGAAACAGAGCATTCTTATGAATTGAATTAGGACTAAAATAAGTGAAAAAAAATGGTCACTCATCAGCAACAGCAGCTTAAATGCACCAGTGATGTTTGTTGTATGATTTAGTGACACCAAATTATGTTTTGTTTCAGTTTTTTATTGATTTTAATGTTTAACACTCACGTGCACTAGTTTCTTATATTTTAGTACAGTACTTCGAACATGGGAAAATGCAAAGGCCAACATTGGTCCACTTGGAATGTAAACTATAAATTGGGGCAAATAATTTTTTTTTTTATTCTAACACAATGTACCAGGGATACTTATGATATTAAAAAAAAAATAAGGTGTAATACTACTCAGAACATGGAAATAAGTAACTTTTTTTTTTTTACTGTTGTGGTACCCTAGATTAACAATGATGTTACATTTTTAGTTCATGGGTTATATAAACATCATGTAATTTGTGTGTCCATAACACTTGCATGCATTCATGACTACTGTAAGACATATATTAACAAGAAAATCTTAATATAATTCAATTGTTACTAGGTGTAATACTCATTGGGTCTTTGAAATAAGTTGTTTGACTGTATTGAGTTATCCTGGATTAACTCTACATATTGTACTTATTGGCTGAATTCTGTTAGTATTATGAAATGGTAATAAATTTCGAATGAACGGGGCATAATCTTGGCAGATGCATACCCTGTTTGCTGGTAGGGTAGCTGGTGGTGGAACAATAGGCCCAGGTTACATTGTTTACTTATTCTACTTAGGCAGTGTTACCCCACGATGCACAGTGTAGACCTGTCTAGTATTAGATTTTTTTTCATAGGAATAGAGTGGTTGTAAGAGACCCATGCAGCTGAACCTAGGAAAAAAAAAATACTGACAGTTGGCATATTTGACTTCACAAAAAATTTGTATACTAGTACGTTGGACTCTGTTAACCCCTTGACTGTCGCAAACCCAATCCTGAGGTGTCTCCTGGTGCCGCAAAATTTAAAAAAAAAAAAATTATTTTTTCTTATGAAATGATAGAGAATCTTTTCCCGATTGTAATGACACCAAAAAAACTAAATTTCATGGAAAACTGACAGAATTATGCTCTCGCGAAGTTAGCGACCTCGGCGATATTTACAAATCGGCGATTTCGCCCACTTTGAGCCCTATTTTTGGCTAATTCTTTTGTTCCTGTCGACCAAACTCATAGCTATTTCTTTAGAACTCCATTTTTTCTATCGATTGAGTACAAGAAACTGCCCATTTACCGATTTCAACTACCCAATAATGTGGTCAGAAAATTGCAATTTGGCCAATTTCACGAAAATTAAAAAATATGACAATTTCAAAATAAGTTCCAGAATGAACAATGCAGACATTCCTGGCTCTAAAATAACATATTCTTTGTTCATCAGTCATGTCTCCAGGCCCCTCTGATATTACTCTTGCTTTCTATTTTGAATTTTTATTCAAACAAAAAATAGAAGACTTACTATTATGCAGACTACTGCAATACTGTAATAATTGTATAAATAACATCAACCCTTTCATGACTGCATATTAGAATGGCTATTTGGACATTTATTGGACAATGACATCATTTGTTTAATTTTGAACATTGACAAAAATCAAACATTTCCCCTACTTTGAGCTCCATTTCTATTTCTATAATATGTTTTCCATTCTATCAAATGAGACCAAGAAAACGAGAATACAACCATAAATACTATACGAAAATAGACCACAAAGTCGGCATTTTAATTAAAAAAACGGTCTGAGTTTTTTTTTTCTCATTATTCAGTGCGTGCTCCAGGAATTTTTTTATATGGTGCACACTGACCACACAGACCCATTCTCTCACATGTGCGCCTACCAGCTTTCTCCTGCTTGATTTGAAGCCGCTAGAATTTACGAGTATATATACGTCAAACACGGTACCTCGTAAGACGTATATATACGTCCGCGACAGTCAAAGGGTTAAAAGCTTAAATATAAGTTGTCGCTAAATCCAGAATAAGTCATAAAGAACTATTGTCGATGAAATAACAGAAAAATAGATGGGGCATCAAACTGATATGTATGAAGCAGGCTTTATGCTATACAGTGGACCCCCGCATAACGATTACCTCCGAATGTGACCAATTATGTAAGTGCGTTTGTGCGTGTATGTTTGGGGGTCTGAAATGGACTAATCTACTTCACAATATTTCTTATGGGAACAAATTCGGTCAGTACTGGCACCTGAACATACTTCTGGAGTGAAAAAATATCGTTAACTGGGGGTCCACTGTATATACTATTCAGCCATAGCAGCCACTGTTTCCTCCTACACCACCATTTTGAATTGATAACTATAGTGAATAAAGGAAAGAGTAAGGTTATGAGGATAAAAAAACAAGGTGACATGAGATTGGATATCAGATTGGAGGGAGAGAGTATGGAGGAGATGAATGTATTCAGATATTTAGGAGTGGACCTGTCAGCAGATGGGTCTATGAAAGATGAGGTGAATCATAGAATTGATGGGAAAAGGGGTGAACGGTGCACTTAGGAGTCTGTGGAGACGAAGAACTTTGTCCTTGGAAGCAAAGAGGGGAATGTATGAGAGTATAGTTTTACTAATGCTCTCATATTGGTGTGAAGCATGGGTGATGAATGTGGCAGTGAGAAGGCTGGAGGTTGTGGAGATGTCATTTCTGAGGGCAATGTGTGGTGTGAATATAATGCAGAGCATTCATAGTTTGGAAGTTAGGAGGTGTGGTATTGCCAAAACTGTTGTCCAAAGGGCTGAGGAAGGGTTGTTGAGGTGGTTTGGACATGTTGAGAGATTGGAATGAAACAGAATGACTTCAAGAGTGTATAAATCTGTAGGGGAGGGAAGGCGGGGTAGGGGTCAGCCTAGGAAAGGTTGGAGGGAGAGGTGGGTAAAGGAGGTTTTGTGGGCGAGGGGCTTGGACTTTCAGCAATCATGCGTGAGCGTATTTGATAAGAGTGAATGGAGACAAATGGTTTTTAATACTTGACGTGCTGTTGGAGTGTAAGCAAAGTAACATTTGTTAAGGGATTCAGGGAAACCGGCAGGCCGGACTTGAGTCCTGGAGATGGGAAGTACAGTGTCCGCACTCTGAAGGAGGGGTGTTAATGTTGCAGTTTTATAAACTGTAGTGTAAAGCATCCCTCTGGCAAGACAGTGATGGAGTGAATGATGATGAAAGTTTTTCTTTTTTGGGCCACCCTGCCTTGGTGGGAATTGGCCAGTCTGTTAATAAATAAAAAAAAATATATACAATATAAATAAAGATCCCTGCAGGAAAACCTGGGTAACCTGAGCAGGTAGAATGATGGATGCAGTAGAATTGGGAGAAAGTCATAAAGGATAATATTAATGAAATCATAAAAAATGCTTTAGTTACACTGGCCACTTTAACATAGCCTTTCTTAAATAGGGATAGGGAACAATGTTTGACATAAATTAGAATATTCATGAGTGAGCATACCTAAGAAAAGTCCAAAGTGAGCTGTAAAATGACAGAGTTAAAAATGGAAAAATAGGAAATGCTTTCATTGGCTGTTAGGAGAAAAGACAAGACATAATTACTTATTATGCAAGTTTATTAACCCCTTGACTGTTGCAACCCCAAATCCTGAGGTGTCTCCTGTTGTCACAAAATCCCCCCCCCCCCCCCCAAAAAAAAAAAAAAAATCTTATGAAATGTAAAGTAAAAGGACACAAGTGCAACTAATGTGACATTTTATTGTGGCAACGTATTGCTCTCCAGGAGCTTTGTCAAGCTGTTACCTGTGGCAACGTATCGCTCCTGGAGAGCGATACGTTGCCACAATAAATTGTCACATTAGTTGCACTTGTGTCTTTTTACTTTACATATTGTCGGTAATTCAATCAACATTATTACAATCTTTGGAAATGATAAAGAATCTTTTCCCGATTGTAATGACACCAAAAGAGCGAAATTTGATGGAAAACTGACGGAATTACGCTCTCGCGAAGTTAGCGACCTCAACGATATTTACGAATCGGTGATTTCACCCACTTTGAGCCCTATTTTTGGCTAATTCCATTGTTCCAGTCCACCAAACTCATAGCTATTTCTTTAGAACTCCATTTTTTTCTATCGACTGAGTACAAGAAACTGCCCATTTACTGATTTCAACTACCCAATAACGTGGTCAGAAATTTGCAATTTGGCCAATTTCACGAAAATTCAAAATGACAATTTCAAAATAGGGTCCAGAATGAACAATGCAGACATTCCTGCTCTAAAATGACATTTTCTTTGTTCATCAGTCATGTCTCCAGGCCCCTCTGATATTACTCTTGCTTTCTATTTTGAATTTTTATTCAAACAAAAAATAGAAGATTTACTGTTATGCAGACTACTGCAGTATTGTAATAATTGTATAAATAATGTCAACCCATTCATGACTGCATAT